CCTCCCACCTCTGCCTTCCAAAGTGCTGATATTACAGGCATGAGCCGCCATGCCCAGAATTATTGCATTTAATACCAAAAAATGAAGTAATTATACATGCCTTTTAAAGTTAAACAGAATGGGAGTTTTGCTGCTATTCTCAGAGCTTTGAAAGAAAGAAAATAAAATCTAACGATAGGAAGTTGTGCATCACTGAGACATTTATTAAAGAAAACAAAACTTCCTGTTTTCTCATTTGTCACTCAGTTACTAAACATCTTTAGAGAAGTTAAGTTGCTGTTGTAGCTAGTTTATTATTGGGTCAGTTACTTTCCCATGGACTCAGCAGAAGTTCCAACTTGCTTTTGCCATTGACCAGGAAAAGTTACAAAAGTCTTGACTTTAATCAGAACTGGTCTGGCTAGAATCAGCCTGCTCTGTAAAAGAAGAGGCTGTGGTTTGGCCCATTTCCCAAGTGGGGAACCTCTGCTAGGTCTGGCAGACATGGAGGCAGAGAGGGAATCTCCCTTTCCTGGGATAGCGTTCTGACCCACCGCATGTCCCCAAATGCTCCTGATAAAGCAAGCCACCATTGCTTGTCATAACTACATACTGGGGAGAGGCGCACTGAGGCTTGTATCATCAGTAGCTAAACCCCAGGATAGACAGGAGGAAGGTAGTTCCAGCTCCTGAGCCCAATGGCTGTTCTAGGTGAGGACTGAGGGCCTCCTCCTTCACTCTGAACTTACCCTACTGTGCATTTCTGGCTAAGGTGAAATACTATCTCCTTCTCTTTTCAAATGATGAAGGACTGTGTTTATTTTGGAGGGAGTTGATGAAACAATCAGGGAAAATGCGTCGTCTTCTTTTTTCTTGAGATGGAGTCTTGCTCTGTCGCCCCATCTAGAGTGCCATGGTGTGACTACGGCCCAGTGCAGCCTTGAGTTTCGAGGCTCAAGTGATCCTCCCACCTCAGCTTCCTGAGCAGCTGGGACCACGATTGCCTGCCACCATCCCTGGCTAATTTCTTTTTAATTTTTTATAGAGACAGGGTCTCCCTATGTTGCCCAGGCTGGTCTTGAACTACCGGGTTCAAGCAATCCTCTCTCCTCAGTCACCCAAAGTGCTGGGATTACAGGCGTGAGCCACCACGCCTGGCTGAAAGTATTTCGAATACGACAAATGTTGCTGGGTTTGCACTGCATAAGGAATGATGCCACGACTTCAGAACAGCCTCTTGTGAGCATAACATTCTTTCAAAGACCTTGCCTCCTCCGCTTCTTACACAGGGTGTTGCAGAAAAACGCATTGGTATGTTTACTGCACACTTGAGAAAACTGGAGCTCAGGGAAAGTCACGTGACCGGCCCATGAGTGCCCAAGGAAATCTGGCAGGGTGAGCTCCTATCCAGCCCACCTCTGACCATACGGCCTGGCTCACAATGAGGAGTGCTTTGGTTTTTTTATTTTTATTTTTTTCAAGAGTTGCCCTGATGCTTGATTCTCCTTTCTACTCATTAAGAAAAGCAACAGAAAGGAAAAAAAAAAAAAAAAAAAAAACCAACGAAAAAGAAAGAAAATCCTCACAACGGAGGGCAAGTCTCAACGTGCCAGTCACGAGTGCTCCTGGCATATGTCTGTTCCCTTGTCCTTTCGACCTCCTGATCCTGAGCCTCAGCATGGTTAAGACAATTACCCGACGTGTTTCTTCCTGTTTTCCTCTCTCCCTCTGTTTGCCTGTAAGAGCCACTTACAAAAGTAATTTGAGTTTCCATGAAAGAGAATTTGAAAGGCTGTTTTCAGTTTATGCTCAGAAGACAGTATGAGAGTTTGCCAATGATTGGATCATCTGAAAAAGTTCTTTCCGCCGGGCGCGGTGGCTCAAGCCTGTAATCCCAGCACTTTGGGAGGCCGAGAAGGGCGGATCACGAGGTCAGGAGATCGAGACCATCCTGGCTAACACGGTGAAACCCCGTCTCTACTAAAAAATACAAAAAACTAGCCGGGCGAGGTGGCGGGCGCCTGTAGTCCCGGCTACTCCGGAGGCTGAGGCAGGAGAATGGCGTGAACCCGGGAGGCGGAGCTTGCAGTGAGCTGAGATCCGGCCACTGCACTCCAGCCTGGGTGACAGAGCGAGACTCCGTCTCAAAAAAGAAAAAAAAAGTTCTTTCCAAATTTTCAAATATTCAAATGTGGCTGAGAAGAACACCAACGTTCTCAGCGCGGAGATTTAAATGTGAAGAACAATGTGTTAGCCCAGCTTCATTCTCATCCATCACACCACTTTTAACCAACACTTGGGTGCATCGTGCTGTGTGCTGAGGTGAATTTCTCTGCTATGTTTCTTGATGTCTCAAGAAAAGCCAGAAGCCACAGCTGGCTCAGCTTTCTACACTCTTCTGCGGCAGAACTGGCCCAGGTTCCCCAGCCCTGCTCAGACCACGCAGAAGATACTAGACAGGATTTAGAGGGCTGTGGGGCGTTTGATGAACTATTCATTGTACATTTTTTACATTATGCCATTAAAATTAGAAATATAAAATACAAAGTACTGTATATGAGCATAGATACTTAATATTAAGTTTATATTACACTTCCAAATAACATTTTTCAATGTTTATAATTACTTATTTTGCTCATAGCGATGAGCATACCTTTCTATATTGGGGTGTTTTTTTTTTTGTTTGAACTAGTCACCATCAGGTCCTGATCCAGACTTTAATGATCAGTTCTTCAAATTCTTGCTACTTACCATCAATAAGAAACTGTTTGTACAAGTAGGGGATACATCTTTTTTATTTATTTTTTATTTTTATATTTATTTATTTATTTATTTATTTATTTATTTATTTATTTATTTATTTTTGTTGAGACAGAGTCTCGCTCTGTCGCCCAGGCTGGAGTGCAGTGGCCGGATCTCAGCTCACTGCAAGCTCCGCCTCCCGGGTTCACGCCATTCTCCTGCCTCAGCCTCCGGAGTAGCGGGACTACAGGCGCCCGCCACCTCGCCCGGCTAGTTTTTTGTATTTTTTAGTAGAGACGGGGTTTCACTGGGTTAGCCTGGATGGTCTTGATCTCCTGACCTCGTGATCCGCCCTTCTCGGCCTCCCAAAGTGCTGGGATTACAGGCTTGAGCCACCGCGCCCGGCCAATCTTTTTTATTTTTTAAGGACAATTCGAAAATTTTCAACAGTATAAGTAATCTTTATAGGAGCTACAGCTTGTTTTATTTCATGAACAAAACGTAATGGTGGCATTTTACAGATTCTTTCCAACCCTCAGAACTTTTTTTAAAATTAATTGTTTAGAGAGACAGTCTCGCTCTGTCACCCAGGCTAGAGTGCAGTGGCACAATCCTATCTCATTGTAACCTCAAACTCCTGGGCTCAAGTGATTCTCCTGCCTCAGCCTGCAGAGTAGCTAGGACTGCAGGCACGCATCACCATTTCTGGCTACTTTTTTTCTTGTAGATACGGGGTCTCACTATGTTGTCCAGGCTGGTCCTGAACTCCTGGGCTCAAGTGATCCTCCTGCCTTGCCTCCTGAAGTGTTGGGATTACAGGTGTGAATTCCCACATCTGGACAGAACTTTTTCATATGGAGCATTTCACAGTAACAGAGGAGCCGGCTCACCCTGGAGATTGGGTGCCTGGGTGGGCAGCTGGGACCAGAACCTGGGTGAGAGCCACACTGTTGGACCCCATGTAGATTCCGAGTCTTGAAGGCTGTGGGAGAGGCCTGGGTGAGGCTGCTCACTGGTGGGGAGTAAACGGGCCTGAAGATGCCAGTGGCCTGCTCAGCTGCCCTGAAGGCTGGGAAATCAACAATTCAACTGACTGCATCAGTCTGCTGCCCTTACTAGCAGCATAAGTTAGCCTGTTCCTGCCTCAGTCTGCCTATCTGTGAAGTGGAGATAATAGTAGTACCTATCTGGTGGGGTTGTTATGAACATTAAATGAGTGCCATGCCTGGCACAGAATAAGTGATACATGTTTATTAAATAAAGTACAAAGGTTGAGAAGCTCTGGAGTAGATCTCTAATGTGGTCTGGATCTGTGTCCCCACCCAAATTTCTTGTTCAGTTGTAATCTCCAGTGTTGAAGGTGGGGCCTGGAGGGAGGTGATTGGATCATGGGGGTGGATTTCTCATGAATGATTTAGCATCAACCCCTTGGTGCTGTTCTCATGATAGTGAGTGAGTTCTCGTGAGATCTGGTCATTGAAAAGTGTGTAGTATCTCCCCTTTCCCTCTTGCTCCTGCTCCTGCATGTGAGATATCTGCTCCCCTTTTGCCTTCTGCCATGATGGGAAGCCTCCTGAGGCCTCCCCAGAAGCTGAGCAGATGCCAGCACTGTGCCTCCTATATGACCTGCAGAATCGTGAGCCAATTAAACTTCTTTATAAATTACACAGTCCCAAGTATTTCTTTATAGCAATGCAAGAATGGGCTAATACAACCTCCAAATCACATTCATAGAACTAACCAGAATCAGATGTTCTAAATTCTGGCTCCCCCACTGTTTAGATGTGGGCTACAAGCACGGTTATTCAGCCTCTCTAAGCCTGGATTTCTTGGCTCATACATGATGATGGCACTGGTACCCATGTTATAATGACATAAAGATTAAATAGGACGGTTCACATAAAGTTCCTGAAAAATAACAAGTATTCTACAAATGATGGCTATTACGAAGTGGCAGAGGCAGGACGTGAGCTCAGCTCTGCCCTGCCCCACTCCCATGCCTACCTCCCATGAGCTATGCCTCCCAAACAGAGAAGTGCTTCACCTGCCAGATTCTCTTCTTCAACTGATTTTAAATCTTTCCATTCAGATTTGTATTTTTCAATCCTTTAATATTTTTTGTTCCTTATCTAAGACCCTGGTGTGGTTTTACCATATCTCTAGAAAGCAATGCCAAGAATGGTCAGAGCAATTGCCCCAAGAGCCAGGCATTAAGAGAATTCCATTGCAAAGGCCGCCGCCGACCACTGTCTTTCAAGTCAAGTAAGTTCAACATATCCTTCCTTATTCATATTTTATTAGGAAGCCGTATCAGAAAATTAATCCATTATAAAACTTTAAACATTGAATGAATCATTCTCATCAAATACATCAAGACCAGAAGCCAAGTTAAATATGGCATTTCATTTTACAAATATTTTTACATTTCATAGTCATGAAAAAGAAAAGAACTTGAAAAAGCAACTTCGACTCTGTACAAATGTTAATATCAAGGAGCAGCTGAAGCTTCATTTTAAGATATGCAAGATCAGTGAAATAAGTAATGTTTTATTAAAATATCCTTGTCTTTTTCCATGATATACACATATTTTTTTCTCTTTAAATAAATATATATTATGTATTTTTAATGACAGCTTACTTGACAACATTCATCTGGTGCTTTGGGGCCATGGAGTTCACTTGGTAAGGAAGACAAATACCAAAAACATCAGGTACAACTGGATTCTCCTAGAGCAGAAGAATTGGCTTGATTTTTGGAATGTCTCCCCGCAACTCTCCTCACATCAGGACTTCTGAGCTTTCTGAGGAGTCGTCAGCAAACAAAAGTTCATCAGGCAGTGAGCTTCCCAAGGGCAGCGTGCTCGAGTGGGACCAGGGGACCCCATTCCTAACAAGTCTCTCCCCCGGTAAAACACTGTTCTTTTCAGCTGTGACTGCAGCAGAGGCGGCAGAAGTCAGATCTTCCCATTCCTCACTGCCCCCATTCAGGATGTACCGTCCTTCATGAGGTTTGCTGTCATGAATTTCTGCTGTGACCACGCTGATGGCAGCGCGGGGACTGCAGGAGGCAATTATAGAGTCAGGGTCAATGTTCAAATCCAGTGGAGCAAGCGTGGAGCCCTCGGCCAGGCCCTCAGAGCTCTCCAGCAACTGTGTGTTGATGTAAATGACGTCTGCTTGGTTCCGAACGTCGGGCAAACTTTCTAAGAGTTTCTCTAGCTGCAGCCTCAATACTGAAAAGGTGGGGCGGTCCAGGGGATCGGTTCTCCAGCAAGAGTACATTATTTCATACCTGAAAGTTAAAAAGAAGTGGATTATCTCCCAGCACAGCACCCATCTCTTTGTGCAATCCATGCCTTTGTTTTTACAGAATCTTTATCATATTTTAATCAGCATTCATTCTACTTTTTATAAAAATTATTGAGACTTTTTTGGTGGCCTCATATTTATACAACTTTTGTAAATCTTCCATGGTATTTGACAAAAAAGTGACTCTCTTCCTAGGAAGAGAGCACATATGTGGCAATTATATCTAACTTTGCAGACAAGGAGTATTTAGGTCTCTTTCTTTATATAGTGGCTGGCAAACTATGGCTCACGAACCAAATCTACCCCACTGTCTGCTTTGTAAATAAAGTTTTATTGGAACGCGGCTATCCTTATTTGTTTACACATTGTCTATGACTTCTTATGTCACAATGGCAGAGCTGAGCAGGTGCTAAAAGGCCTGCAAAGCCAAAAACATTTGCTATTTGGTACTTTATAGGAAAAGCTTGCTGACCGCTGTCCTATGCCATCAAACTGAGTTGTTACCAGGACAGCTGAGTTAGTTGGGGCCCTGGGGCTAGGGCTAAGAAGGTCAGGAGTAGGGGTAAGGGCAGGGGGTAGTTGTGTGCTGTGTATCACTCCATCTAGTCTTCTCAACAACCCTGTTATTGTCACTTTGTAATAAAGATGACAGTGGGCTCAGGGACATTACAGAACGTGCCATGGCCATGTGGGTAGCCAGGGATTCAGATTCAGATTGGACAACTCCTGCATCCAAGTGCTCCTCACAACCCCCTCCACTTTGTTTTATAGGGGACAACTCTCTTCTGGGTGGTTTTTCATCCCAGTGTCTAATATAGTCAATAATTCCAATGGAGGGACATTTAATGGAGCACAGTAAGACAGATGACAAATAGCAATCAATAGGCTGAGATGAAGAGTAAGTTATACCATCATTTCATTAAAAATGTTTCTTTTCTTAAAATTGATAGACCAATATGGGACACACACACATATATGGCATATATATATACACACACACATATATATGACATATATATACACACACACACACATATACGGTGCATATATATACACATACACATATATGGCATATATATATACACACACACATATACGGTGCATATATATACACATACACATATATGGCATATATATATATACACACACATATATATATGCATGCCAATTAATATGCCTGGCCCTGAAATGTGAGGACTATCAATTATAATATATACATATACATATAGATATACACACACATACACATATATATGCATGCCAATTAATATGCCTGGCCCTGAAATGTCAGGACTATCAATTATAATATATACATATACATATAGATATACACACACACATACACATACATGCCAATTAATGTGCCTGGCCCTGAAATGTGTGTGTGTGTACACATATATATATGTATGTGTGTGTGTGTATATATGTGTATATATATATAAATGTGCATATATATATATATGCACACACACATGCACATATATAATTTTTTTTTAAAAAAAAATATATATTTTTTTAAATAAGACAAAGTCTTGCTATTTTGCCCAGGCTGGTCGAGAATCCCTGAACTCCTGGGCTCAAGTGATCTTCTGCCTCAGCCTCCAGAGTAGCTGGAATTACAGGTGCACACCAACATACCTAGGCATCATTTCATTTTGATTCCTTTCTGTTTTGAGAAACTGATAATTTATATGTCACTGGACAAAAAAATGACCCAAATTTAAATCATCTGACCCATGCAATCAATGGCTGGCATCTCATGAACAGAAATATGCAATTTCCATATTGACATTTAGTTACAGCCTAGAGAACCTTTGGCGAATTCTACGAACATGGTACTTCACATACAACATGCAGCTCTCATTCACGTAGATGTATAATATCTTTTCATCTGTCCACTGGACCAGCCTTTATCAACACTTGCACATGCATCCGGAAGGTGGAGGCTGGCAAAGTGCCATGCATGTGAAGAGCTTGATCCTGAATGTAGGCCTAGACAATGGCACGGCGCACTTCCCTGCCTCACAATCCTTGTTCTCATCTCAGGCTTGGGGGTTCTTTCTTGTTTCCCTGTCTTACCTTCTTTAGATGGTCACTTAGACTTGACAGACAGTTTCTGTTTTTATTTTTGAGGTTTTCAGGCATAAGTCAATTTGCATGACTCCATTTTCCACAGAGCCTCCTTGATTGTTTGCCATCTGAGATGAGCTTTGAGACATTCTGTTCTCAGGGACATAATCTCCTTTTCATTATTTCATCAAGAGGCTGTGGTATTTAACTTCCTTTCATTTATTTCATGTCTTAGGAGAAAGTGTTTAAATAATTTATCTTTATTTCCAAGTAGAATAGTATCAATATCACTTTGAAACTTCCTTTCCTTTTACATTCAATATCTTATCAAATGTATAAAAATATACATATGACTTTTAAAGACACGGTGAACACGTATGCTGTCTAACCTACTCCCACAAAAGGGCAATTTCATAGTAGTAGACCAAAGAGATTAACAAGAAGCCCCCATCTGATAAGTAATAGGAAGGCTGTGATATTTAGTGATTTAGATTTTATAAAATTGTATGGATGGAAAGAAAAATAAGTTTGGTAATTGCTTTTGTAAATGGTTATTTGTATTTTTCTGTTGAGATTTTATAAAAGATGTGATCATATAGGTTGCCAGGGGCTGTGGGGAGGAAAGAATGGGATTAGTTTAATGGGTAGAGAGTTTCAGTTTTACAAGATAAGAAGAGTTTTGGAGATAGATGGTGGTGATGGTTATACAACAGTGTGAATATACTTCACGCCACTGAGTTGTACCCACTGGTTAGGAGAGTCCATTTTGTTATGTATATTTTATCACAATTAAATGCAATGATGTGAATTTACAAAATTTGTAAATGTATGACTTTACTCATATTTTTCAAGCACCTGCTTTGCTCCTGGCCCTGAGGATGGCCGAGTGCAGGGCTGCAATTCTGCACAGGGAAATGATGCCCATCTCCTATCAGCTGTGCTTCCACTGTGCTAGCCAGTATCTACCCAGCTCTGCCACTCAGCCCACCGTGATTCCCACCTCGTCCCTTCTCCAGATCTCAGATGCCTCAGGTGGCAGCGGAGGGAGGGATAGGTCAATGGATAGAAGAGGGTTTCTGAGATGGAGAAGGTGGGTGTAAGCTGGGGTCCTTGGGGCAGACAGGCAGCAGGCAAGAGGCAGGGCCAGCTCTGTGCCAGCCAACACGCCAGGTCCTAGGTGCCAGGATGAATAAGACTGCGAGGGCAATGCTAGGCTGGTCATGTGTGTGAAGCGCAAGGGTGGTGCTGGGATGGGCACCAGGTGAGTCCTGGAGAGGAGCCCCTGAGTCTGCGCAACTGCAGCTTCACGGTGGCTGATGCAGGTGGAACGTGACCAGCAAAGTGCCAGCTGTGTGTGGGCTGATGGGCCCTAACCGTTTACTCCTCACTGCAGCCCCACGAAGGAAGAGATGCAGTTCCACTCACAGACAGGGCAGCTGAGGCCTGGAGAGGAGAGGAACTGACTGAAGTCACGCCAACAGTCGGCGGCAGTGCCAGTCCATCTGACACATGGCCCCTGCTCTCATCTGTGACCTCTGCCTCCTTCACTAAGAAGAAGAGTCACTGACCTTTCCCTCATGCTTACTATTTCAGCCATCAAGTGAAACACTTTAGATTTGTTTTTTGGGTTTGTTGTTGTTGTTGTTTCTTTTTTTTGAGACAGGATCTTGCTCTGTTTCCCAGGCTGGAGTGTGGTGGCACAGTCATAGCTTACTGCAGCCTCCATCTCCTAAACTCAAGCGATCCTCCCACCTCCTGAGCAGCTGGGACTACAGGCATGCCCTGCAACACCCAGCTAATTGTGTTTATTTTTTGTAGAGATGGGGTCTCACTATGTTGCCCAGGCTGATTTCAAATTCCTGGCCTCAAGCAATCCTCCTGCCTTGGCCTCCCAAAGTGCTAGGATTACAGGCATGAGTCACTGCACTCAGCCTGAGTTTATTTTTCTTTTTTTTTTTTTTTTTTTTGAGATGGAGTCTCACTCTGTCGCCCAGGCTGGAGTGCAGTGGCGCAATCTCCGCTCACTGCAAGCTCCGCTGCCTCCCAGGTTCACGCCATTCTCCTGCCTCAGCCTCCCGAGAAGCTGGGACCACAGGCGCCCGCCAGCAAGCCCGGTGAATTTTTCTGTATTTTCAGTAGAGACGGTTTCACTGTGTTCACCAGGATGGTCTCGATCTCCTGACCTCGTGATCCGCCCACCTCGGCCTCCCAAAGTGCTGGGATTACGGGCATGAGCCACTGCACTCAGCCTGAGTTCATTTTTCAAAGGAAATGTCTCAGAAATGGAACAGAGGCCTCTTTGGGGGATGCTGTTGTTACCCAGCATGTAGATTCGAGAGGAGATGGAAGAAAGCCTGGCTCATGAGGGCCCGAGGCCACAGCACAGCCACAGCCCCCTTAGCACACCCAGTGCATGGGCCCCACAGGAGGCGGGGGTAGGGGCAGATTTGCCCCGTTCTGCCTGACTTCCCTAGCCACATGGCGTGTGCTGACTCTGCTGCTTTGTCCCCTAAAATGTCTCACAGAAAACCAACTCAGCATTCCCTTGTTTTGGCTCTAAAAACCACAACGTGACACAGCTTAGACCTTGCTAAGACCCAACATAATCACTGCAAATATCAACTACTTTTCGGTGGGCAAGGAAAGCCAAGAAAGAAACTGCAACAAAACTCTTTCCATAGTCAATACTGTTTGACTGAAACGCTTCCTTATTTTCAGAAGCAGGCACTTCATAAACATGGCACTTTTAAAAACTACCATGAAACCCTAGAACTAATTGTATTAGCATTTCAGGATGTTTTAAAGGATTTACAGTGCTTGTTTCTCTTCTTAATGTTATACATCTACCACCACAATAAAAACCACCAACCACTACCAATAGCACGAGGCTCTGATTAAAACAGTTTCCTTCTTTTCGGCTTAGAAGGGACCTGGGAGGCCTGTGGGCAAATGGATCCAGGCTCTCTCCCCTATGTGAGGCAGCAGGGCCTGTGTGTGTGTGTGTGTGTGTGTGTGTGTGTGTGTGTGTGTCTAGGGAGGGTGCTGCCATGGACCCAGGCACTCTCTCCCATGTGAGGCAGCAGGGCCTGTGTGTGTGTGTGTGTGTGTGTGTGTGTGTGTGTGTAGGGAGGGTGCTGCCATGGACCCAGGCGCTCTCTCCCATGTGAGGTAGCAGGGGGTGTGTGTGTGTGTGTGTGTGTGTGTGTATAGGGAGGGTGCTGTCCACACTCACCTGTTCCAGCCCAGGCATGGCACTCCATGACAGAGCCAGCGCAGGCCCACAGTCCTGAAATGTTCTCACTAAATATGGTGAGAATGCCCCTCTCCAAGTCCGTGGCCCTTATTATACAGGGAGGAGACTCCCCATTAGGAAGGTTCAAATCCCCATCACCAAGCTACCGGAATTGCCACAAGAAATTATTTTAATAAGGTCAGCAAAGTGCTTGGGGGAGATTAATTGCCATGGCCACTCACAGGGCCAGTTAGGAAGCAGAGCCTGGCTTATTAACTCCGAGGCCTGGGTCTCCCTCCCCATACTGCTTGGCCTTGAAGATGGGGGCCCTGTTAGGATGGGATGTGTGCTGTGTGTGTGTCACAACTGGTGGTTCTTTCTCCTGTCTAAACACATGATCTCTCAGGGACTATTTTATTTTATTATTTTTTAATAAAGACAGGGTCTCACTATGTTGCCCAGGCTGGTCTTGAACTCCTGGGCTCAAACGATCCTCTCTCTTTGGCCTCCCAAAGTGCTGGGATAACAGGCATGAGCCACTGTGCCCAGCCCCAGGGAGCATTCCAAAACACACACTTCTGGGCCCACTTTGTACCGAAAGCATCGTAATTTCCAGGAACAGGGCCGAGGAATTGAATTGTTAGACTATCTCCCAGGAGATTCTGATGAGCAGCCCGATCCCAAAGTCACCGGTTTAGACTTCTCAGTTTCCTGATGAAGGATACTACTGTGAGTGGAGTGTCTGAAATGCTACCTAGAAGGAAAAGGATAACTGGACCAAAAGAGGGTGAGGAATCATTCAAGGACCTCAGGCACTATAAGGCAAACCTATTCTCTGTGGATATAGTTCCTAGCGGTGTGTAAGGAATTTTAGGACCGGTGCCGTTGCCTTATCTTGACAGTGTCCGTCCTTCGAGGCTGAGGCCCTTTGGATGAGTGAGCCTCAGTGGGCTCACTGGAGATACCACACACTGTCTCCCACATCAGGAATGGCTCCTGGCCTGGGGTGTCTGCGGGTACCACCCCCTGCACATGCCCATCTGGCTAACAGCAGTCCCGTTCCCCTCCCATGGCTGTGTTTCCAAGGTCACTGCAGAGCCAAGTGGCTGCCCCATGCAGAGTATGGAAGGGAGATGGAGAAGCCCACTCACAGTTCATCCAGGCAGTCCTCGGGCTGCTTCAGCCTGTGTCCATGGAGAAGATAGTCATACATCTCATGGTTCTGGACCCCGGGATAGGGAGTCATTCCCCGCGTAGCTATTTCCCACATGGTCACGCCAAATGCCCACTGGGAACAAAGCAACAAGTTAGGATGCAAGCCTTTCCACAAAGCCTGAATGGACCTTTTCACTGGCAAAGGCCATTTCCCTAAACACTGATGATCATGCACAAAGCTGGCAATTATGTGTGAGACGCACTGCTCTCCCAACGCCGCAATAACGTGGGGTTGGAGTGTCACAGTTCCCCACTTCTACAAAAGCTGTTCTGGGAAATCTGGCAAAGGCAGAAACAGCCTCGTCACACGTCGTCTTAATGCTCTCTTCCACTGTGGTTGTGAGGTGCTTTCTTTCCCTAATCTCGGGTCAAGGGCGTAATTACACAGCACCTTTCATATAGCATCTAGGTGCCAAGAGCCACTGGATGAACCCATTCAATTTAATGTGACTATGAAATATCCTCGTTGTGGGCCATGAGTCATCCGTCGACAGCAAGGAAAAATGGGAAGAAACTAACGGCTTTTGCAAAGCACCCATCTTCTGAATGTCAGGACACTTCACCAGAGCCTCTGTTTCACCTGCATTAAAGTATCTGGTAAGACAGAAAAGACAGGTCTGAGCAAGCTCCCAATCCTCAGTTTATCAAAGAGTAAAATGTCTTGCCACACCAGCCGAAGTCATTTCTTTCAATGTGCCCTCCTCTTTGCACTGTGGGGCCCCTGAATCAAAGCTGTGTACGCACCACGTCACTTTTACTCGTGTAGACTCGGTCTGCAAGACTTTCTATGGCGATCCATTTAACAGGCATCTTAGCAATGCGGCCTTGGCGGTAGTAATCGCCGCTGTAAATCTTCTTAGAGAGGCCGAAGTCCGCAACACAGACAGTCATGTCATCTCGCAACCTACAGAGAGCAAGTTATGTCTTCAGCAGCGTCAGAGGCAATGCCTTAAATTACTGGTCTATATCAGACACAGGTGAAAACACTTATGATAATTGACCAAAAGAACACAGAGACACCATCAGCCTGTGAGCATGCTGCTTTGGGACCAATGGCAGAGCAAGAGCAAGAGCAAGAGTAAGAGCAAGCGATGCAATTTTTTCTTTTCTTTTTTTTTTTTTTTTTGAGACTTTTGAGATAGAGTCTCGCCCTGTCACCCAGGCTGGAATGCAGTGGCACGACCTCGGCTCACAGCAACCTCCGCCTCCCGGGTTCAAGCGATTCTCCTGCCTCAGTCTCCTGAGTAGCTGGGATTACAGGTACACACTACCAACACCCGGCAATTTTTTTTTTTTTTTTTTTTTTTTTTTTTTGAAGTAGAGATGGAGTTTCACCATGTTGGCCAGGCTGGTCTCGGACTCCTGACCTCAAGTGATCTGCCTGCCTTGGCCTTCCAAAGTGCTGGGATTACAGGTGTGAGCCACCACGCCTGGCCTCAAGTGATGCAATCTTGCATCACTCTGATCTGTGTGGGATGCGGACCAGCAAGGGCACCTGTGCACAGTGGTTAGAAACAGCTGGAGAACATGGAGACACAGCATAGCAGCAACAGAAAGCAGTAGCTCAAAACCAGGGCCCTCTGGTGGACTGATGGAGGACCCCAGCAGCCTTCCTCCCAGAGGTCTGGAAGCGGCACTGACCCTGTGGACTAAGTAAGCCCCCTGAGAGTTTGGAGAAGATGGGGAATTACATGCAGTAAGAACAAGATGCTGGGCTTCTTGCTAAGATGGTCAGGTGGGTGCTTGAGGAACTAACTGAGAAATTAAAGGGCTACAATTGCATTTGTAGCCCAAGCTATTAAAACAGCTCCTACACAAGAAGAAGGAGGAGGAGAAGAAAGAATACAAGCAAGAGAAGGAAAAGAAATAGACATAAAGTGGTCTGGGGAAGGTGACTAACTTGTCCCTGTTTGCCTGACACTGACTTTTTACACTGAAAATTCGTTGTCCTGAGAAACCCCTCAGGCCAGGGTAAACTACAAAGCTGGTCACCCTGCCTGCTGGGAAAACATGAAAGAAATAGTAAGGGAAAAAGACTTTTCATGATTTTCCCTCCATGGTGGAAAAATTAAGTTAAATAAAAACAATAACGAAACCAAAACCCCTTTAGGGTTTTCAAAAATGAGGTGAAAGGGGCAGGAGCCCTAGGGGCAGGGCTGGCTGGGAGGTGGGAGGAGGCAGGCCCTATTGTCACATCTCTGACCAAGAAAAACAAATGACAAAATCCATTGAAGGACCACTCCCTCTTCTTGCAATAAAAAACTTAAAATCAAGACCCAGTTACAGTTTTTGAAGATTTACAGCAGACAATGGCTCTGCTGAAGCAGGGTGAAGAAATGGGGCGAACTTAAGTCCACATTTCTTGTATAATGAAGCCATTGTCTGCTGTGAAAGGACAGCTTCCACGTATTCAAAGTACAAAACTTCTTCCTAAGGAAGTGTTGTGTAAACGTAGGGAAAAGCCTTTACGATTTTCACTGCTGTCTTTAAGAGGAGCTGATGTGCACATAACTCTAGGTCCAAAGCTACCTGATGGCATGGGGAAGGATCACAGGGGTCACACCTCGCATTCCTACCTGAGTGAGAGAGTGAAGGTAAACTGGAGTCATAAGGGAAAGCTTTGGAAGCCAACCAGACTCTCAGATGCAGAGGCAGTGAAAACTCCCAAACACCCAGCCATATTTCCATCTTCGGAGCAAGCCACACCATAACCCTTCTGACTGCAGCTTCCTTCCCTATCTAAACAGGAACAGGTCATCTCCTTATCCCTGCAAAGACCAGACACCATGAGGGCCCAATCCTTCCAGGATAGCCGAGGACTCTTACATGCAGTTTCGAGCAGCTAAATCTCGATGAAGAAAATTCCTGTTGCTCAGATACTCCATTCCCAGGGCAATATCCATCATGAACTTCAGTAGTGTCTGCAGAGGAATATGCTAGATGATAGAGGAGACAAGAAGAAAGACTATCTTTTAAAAAGGAAAACTTGCAAGCAGTTTCGCCTGAAGGGGAAAGGATGCTTTAATTTATGATGGTGTAGTGATGAAATAAGGAAACAAATCTTTTATTTCCATATCACTAATATCACAAATAAGGTTTTTAAAAAGGAATGAAAAAAACCTTAAACTTCTTGGCAAACATTATATTCTCTTTCCTCATCTTTAAAAGTATTTACAGTGAATGACATTGTATCTTTTCATAAGGTATGAGGTCGAATGTGATCCTTCCCTGTGTCCTTCAGAGTGGGACAGAGCACACACATTGCACAGAGGAGGGAAAGGGACAGGTGATCTGGCTTCAGCAGCGGCGAGGTGCGTGTGTGTGGCAGGGGTCTAATGTTTGGGAGGGGAAAAGTCCACTTAGGATGAACTGTTTCCAATGAGGCACCCCTATCTGCTACCATTTTACTTTGAAATGTTTTGAAAGATACTTGTTTCTTCTAAACAGAAATTAGCAGAGTCTTCACCTCTTATCACAGGACCAAAGCACTACAAGTACATATTCAGGAATTTTCATTTTGTTCCTGTGGGGCCTGCCTATAAGTTTCAACAGTCTAGTATTTTCTCTAGCTTATAAAAATCAAACTAGATTGCTGTGTTAGAAAAACCAGTCACTGTTGGAATCAGTTATGAGGATGGCTGCTGATAAAACTTCAATGTAGTAATTAAGTGTCTTAGTGCAACCACGGCCCTGCAGAAAAGGATTTGCACAAGTCCCTGGCAGTCATGAATGGGTCCATCCATTATGTACACTCCCCGAGGCACTGGATTTGCCATGGCTTGCTTTCCATACATGAGTTTTACAAAATGGTACTCATGAAGACATTGTATTTTTTAATGATTTTTATTTTCCAACCAAGACACATATCAATTATATACTGTATAAATAAATGAACTGTCTTAATCTTTATCTTTAAGTAAGGGAATTGTTTAAAAATCAGGCATGGACATTTTCTGCCTCTATTCTGTATTATTTGGGTATTTGGTTTTCTGGATACTAATTTCCAGGAAAGGATTTGGGTCCTAAGAAATATTGCATCGTACTGTCATTCATGAAGGTGCAATGAGTATCAGGTACTATTCCTTTGTGCTGTTTTTTTCCTAGAACACTTCTGTTATTCCTGGAGACTGTGACCAAAAGTCACTTAAAAAATAATTGTGTAGCACAATTAATAAATGAGTTCAGCAAGGTTGTAGGATACATGATGGACACACAAAAATCAACTGTATTTTTATGTACCGGTGATGAATAATTTGAAAATGAAATTAAGAAAATTTCATTTACAATAGAATTAAAATACTTAAAAATAAAGTTAACAAGGAATTATAAAAATTATATTTTGGAAACTATAAAATATTGAAGAAATTAAAGAATATCTAAATAAATGGAACGATATCCTGTGTTCATGGATAGGAAGACTTAATATTGTTATGATAGCAATACTCCCCAAATTGATCTAGAGATTCAACATAAGCTCTATCAGAATACCAGATGGCTTCTTTGTAGAAATTGATAAGCTGATCCTAAAAGTCATATGGCAACTCAAGGAACTGAGAATAGCCAAAACGAGCTTGAATATGTACAAAGTTGGAGGACTCAAACTTACCAACTTAAAAACTTACTATAAAGCAACTATAATTACGACAGTATGGTACTGGGATAAAAATACAGATCAATGGGAAAAAATAGAAAGTTTAAGAATAAAGCCATGTATGGTCAACTGACTTTTAGGAAGGATGTCAAGACCATTGACAATAAGGGAAAAATAGTCTTTTCAACAAATGTTCCTGAGACAAGTGAATGGCCACCTGCAAAGGAATGAAATTGAACCTCTACCTCAAACCATATACAGAAATTAACTCAAATGATCAAAAGATGAATCAAAGACCTAGATGTAAGATCACAAACTATAAAATTCTTAGGAGAAAACATAAGGGCAAATCTTTGCGACTTTAAATTAGGGAATGGTTTCTTAGATATGACACCAAAAGCACAAGCAACCAAAGGAAAAAAAGAAAACTGGACTTCACCAAAAATAAAAATGTTTGTGCCTCAAAGAATACCACAAAGAAAGTGAACAGGAAACCCACAAAACGAAGAAAATATTTACAAATCACCCATCTAATAGGAACTCATATCTAGAATACATACAGAACTCAGGCCAGGTGTGGTGGCTCACGCCTGTAATCCCAGCACTTTGGAAGGCTGGGGCGGGTGGATCATCTGAGGTCAGGAGTTCGAGATCAGCCTGGCCAACATAGGGAAACCCAATCTCTATTAAAAATACAAAATTTGCCAGGAATGGTGGTGCATGCCTGTAATCCCAGCTATGTGGGAGGCTGAGGCAGAAGAATCACTTGAACCTGGGAAGCAGAGGTTGCAGTGAACCGAGATCACACCAATGCACTCCAGCCTGGGTGACAGAGTGAGACTCCATCTCAAAAAAATAAACAAATAAATAAAAATAAATAGAATATATACAGAACTCTTATAGCCCAATAATAAAAAGATAGTCACATTAAAAATGGGTAAAAGGTCAGATAGACATTTCTTCAAAGAAGACATACAAATGGCCAATAAGCACATACAAATATGCTCAATGTTATTAGTCATTAGAGAAATGCAAATCAAAATCATAGTGAGATACCACTTCACACTCACTGGAATGGCTAGAATTTAAAAGTCAGATAATAAGAAGTGTTGGTGAGGACATGGAGAAACTAGAACCCTCACACGTTGCTGGTAAGAACGAAAAATGATGTGGTTACATTAGAAAACTATCTGGTAGTTTCTCAGAAAGTTAAACATTGAAGTTAACATACGACCCAGCAATTCTACAATTAGTATATACCCAAGAAAATGTAAAGCATATATCAACACAAAAATTTGTACCAAATATTCATAGAGCATTACTCATAAAAGCCCCAAAGTAAATAACCCAACTGTCCATCAACAGATAAATAACCAAAACATGGTATATCTATTCAACAGACTATTATTCAGTCATAAATAAGAATAAAATACTGTCACATGCTATCACATGGAAGCACCCTGAAAACATTATGCTAAGTAGAGGAAGCGAGTCATAAAAGATTACAAATGTATATGATTCTATTAAAATGAAATGTCCAAAATAGGGAGAGAGAGAGACTGAGACAGAGAAGTTTCATGGTTCCTTAGGGCTGGGAACAAGGAGGGTAAAAGGGATTAGGAGCTGACAGCTGAAGAGTATGGGGTCGGTTTTGTTTTCTTTTTGTTTTTAGGTGATGAAAGTGTTCTAAAATTGATTGTGGTAATAGTTGCACTCTGTGACCGTACTGAAAACCACTGAATTGAATACTTTAAATGAGAGAATTGTATCTCAATAAAGCTGTCATCTTAAAAAAAAAAAAAAGCACTGTTCCAGGAAAAGAGAGGGGAGAGAGAGAGAAAGAAACAAAAAAGACAAAAGGCAGGCCTCTCTCTTTTATCTCTGGAGACGGGTGTGTGAGGACATGATGCTGGAGAAGCTGCTATCTTGTAACCATGTGGAGCACCGGCTGCAGAAGAACAGAAAAAGGTGGAACACTTTGGGGAACTTGATGATGTTGAGGACAAAATGGCCAACTCTGGAGCTGTGCTACCTCTGGGCTTTATTGCATGAGATTCTGTATCTCCGCTGAAAGTCATTTTGAGTTGGGTTTTGTATTACATGCTGGTGAAGTCATTCTACTTGTAGAACCTAAACATTGACCCCAACTTCTCTTTCCTGTTTTATCACCCCTTCTCCCATCCTTCCACTGCTTTGCTGTTGCCATGTGAGACAATCTACTTCTCTCAAAACATGGGTATGTTCCCAGATCATTTGGTCTTTGCTCATTCTGATCCTGACTGTGTGCTTCTCTTAATTTTCCACTGTACTCCTCCTACCACTCTTTTGAGGAAATCCATGATGGCAGTGTGGAATTTATTTTTTATTTTTTGAGATGAAGTCTTGCTCTGTCACCCAGGCTGGAGTGGTGCAGTGACACGATCTGAGCTCACTGCAACCTCTGCCTCCTGGGTTAAAGTGATTCTCCTGCCTCAGCATCCCAAGTAGCTGGGATTACAGGCATGCACCACCATGTCCCGCTAATTTTTATGTTTTTAGTAGAGATGGGGTTTCACCATGTTGGTCAGGCCAGTCTCAAACTCCTTGAGAGGTGAAGCCAGCTGGACTTCCTGGGTAGAGTGGGGACTTGGAGAACTCTTCTGTCTAGCTACAGGATTGTAAACGCACCAGTCAGTGCTCCGTGTCTAGCTAAACGATTGTAAATGCACCAATCAGCACTCTGTAAAAATGCATCAATCAGGGCTCTGTGTCCAGCAAAAGGGTTGTAAATGCACCAATCAGCACTCTGTAAAAATGCACCAATCAGCACTCTGTGTCTAGCTAGCAGATTGTAAATGCACCAATCAGCACTCTGTAAAATGGACCAATCAGCACTCTGTAAAATGGACTAATCAGCAGGATGTGGGCAGGGACAAATCAGGGAATAAGAGCTGGCCACCCCCAGCCAGCAGTGGCAACCTTCTTGAGTCCCCTTCTGTGCTGCAGAAGCTTTGTTCTTTCGCTCTTCACAATAAATCTTGCTGCTGCTCACTCTTTGGGTCCGTGCCACCTTTAAGAGCTGTAACACTCACTGCGAAGGTCTGTGGCTTCATTCTTGAAGTCAGCAAGACCAAGAACCCACCCGAAGGAACCAACTCCAGACATATCCTGACGTCAGGTGATCCACCCACCTTTGGCATCCCAAAGGTGGCTTACAGGCATGAGCCACCATGCTCGGTCAGCAGTGTGGAATATTTTAAACATTTCTCCAGTAAGAACTCATTTCTTCCCTGAAGCTCTAGCAGGCTGCTCACATCGCTGTGTGATGCATATGTTATTACAGACTATCTCCCTTTGTACTATCGA